CCAGCTCGGGCAGTACAACGGCGAGCATGGATACCATCTAGAGTTTACACTTTCGTCTTCTTCCTCGAAGTTTCTGTAAATTGTGTTGGGCCCAACGCTCCACTAACATGAGAGATGTTGTAATCCGAGACCACTGGAGGGCACTAGAACGGGGGAAAAAAGACTGGTTTGTCTAAACGACGAGATTCGGGTTGAGGGACGAGGGTTGTTAGTTTTCCGAAGCATTATCTCCCAAAATCTTCGCCATAGATTCATAGAATCCGCAAGCAGTGGAAAAGAGCAGAGAGACAACGGAAGTCCGCTAGTGGACCGCTTTTATACCAGACCTCTCCAGAAGAGGGTGCTGTTGCTACTGTATGTGGCGAGTGCTCCTCCCTCCCTATATAGGCGACCGAGGGAGCAGGTAGTGGTTGAACGCAGGTGTTGTGCGCGCGTTGGAGGCGGTCAATGCGTGCAGAGCTCATGCTGGCGGTGGGCATGAAGGAGACGTGCGGGTAAGGGGGGTGGACGGGCAGCCTGGGAGTGGGGCGCCGGGCTCTTCTTCGCTTGAGGAAAGCGGGGTGGACGCATGTGACCCGCTGCGGTCGCTGCTGCTGACGTTTTCTCCCCTTCCCACGCTCAGCTCAGAATTTCCATTGGCTTTATGGAAACCTCTAACTTGTTAGAACAGTTTGGATAAATGCGACCGCTAGAAGCAAAACCGTAAAAAGGCATGTTTCGAGGGGGAATAAAAACGTCAAAGTGTGTTCTCCCAAAGGTATTGCGCGGCAGCCCCGTCATCCCCAATGCGCGTAGAAATTTGGGAAGGTGGGAGTACTTTGAGTGGCTTTAAGTATCAGTTGGCTAGGACTCATACACACGCGCAAAAAAAGGCACCGAAGAGAGGAGAGGGGGAAGAAAATATATCTTGCATTTCGGTGTTTCGGTGTTTTTTGAGATCCCTGGGGTTTACCCTCTCCTCCCTAGTACTTTGTGTATGAAAAGCAAGCATCCACACTTACACCCTCAAGCTAATTCTTATGTCTCTGGCCCTGTAGGTGTTAAATTCATTAAAAATATGAAGTATATTGAGTAAAAATTTCAAGATACTGAAAACTAGGGCTTTTATTTTAATGGAGAGAAATAGGTTGCCCAAATTCTGTCTGAAATGCTGCTTTTTACAAATGTATCTAGGAAGTCTCAGATATATCTATCCTTTCCTGCTGCTCCCAAATGCCTCACAGTTAGCTTGTATCACTGCTTTTCTCTGCCGTTGATGAGCATACTTACTCTACACCTGCAGAGAATGAGGTAGTATAGGCCCTAAAGTGGTAGATTGAATCATTTCTGCCAAGTTATGCCATTTTTGAAAGACCATTCTTTAGAGGTCCTTAATATAAGGCAGATGAATGCATTCTCCCTGTTCTTGTTTGTTCTACATCTAATTTGTGGTGTGTAGTAAGGTATAGAGATCATGGCCCTATTTGATATAGAGCAGCGGTTGCCAACCGGTGGGCCGCGAGAACATTTTGGTTGGCCGCAGAGAAATCTCACCCCCAGAGCACCCCCCCAAACCAATTAATCCAGGCTGCGCAGAAACACAAGACATGGCCCGTGGGAACCCTCCTCGCCCACTCCTTACCCGGCAAACTTGCCTGCTAAATTGCTTTTTTCCCCTTTTTCTGACCACCAGCTGTTCTGCTGTGCCAGGAGATTTAGATTAGCTAGGAAGCAGGAAATGGTTGGATTTCTTGCTTTCTAGCTAGTCTTTAGATCTTCGGCTCTGCTTTTAAGCACAGCCAACCTTCCTTAGGACTGAAGGTTCTATTCAGTGCTGACTCATACAAGCAAATTTTATGTGAAAGACTGAGCTAGCAGATTGAAAATAGATAGATCATTGAATAATTCTGTGAGCAACTCTGCCTGCTTGCCTGCTTTGCCTGATTTTGGGTAAAAGTTGCTCTTTTTTAATAAAAAATTCAATATTTATATAAATTTTTATAATATTTACATATCCAGCCATGCCCAGCCAGTCACATGACCACCAAGCCACACCCACAAATTAGGCCATGCCCACAGAACCAGTTAGTGGTTCCCTGGAATTTAAAATTATGAGTTTGGTGGTCCCTGAGGTCCAAAAGGTTGACGACCCCTGATATAGAGCAGTATGGTCCCATCCTATTCTCAAATCATTATTGTCCACTTATGTCCTCTGAGGCAGTTTGCTTGCTTCTTTGGGAGCAAGGTAACCCTGGTCAAACATGAGATTTCCTGAAGGACAGTGTTAAGAACAAAAGGCGAAGAAGACAGCTAAGGAGATAGCTCCCTGTTTTACTCTAGGATGTGTGTTTTACCTGCTAAATTAGCAACTAAAAATAAGATGGTATCTGTCAGAGGACCTAACACTCCTGCGTGGCCAAAGTCTGTGAATGTATTAACTATTACCCTTTTGTAGTTAAGTAATGTGCTATAGATTTGGGAGAGGAACATCCATATCTGTTGAAGGATGAAACAATTATTTTGGGCATAATCCACTCCTTTTGCCACCTTGCTGTTTACTGTGCAATCTCAGATGCTTACTTGAAAATTAGTCCCATTGAATTAGGTTGGGTTCAGATTGCTCAGCTCTGTGGTTCCCTTGTAACCTATGATCTCACCTGTAGACCTTTTTGATTCTGGTTTTATAATCGGTTTTCCACCCTAGTTGGTCTCTTCATGAGTTAATCCTAGAGGGGCTGGTTTTAAGCTATCCTGGCATACAATATAAATGACTTTGCCACCATGTAGTGCCCCTTAATTTTGTTTAAAATATATTTAACAGTGATCAGGATAGTTAATAGTGGACAATATCAAGGGAGGAAACGTCATACAATCTTGCTTTCCTCCTATTTCTCTCAGTCATTAATATTTTTTGTTGTATTCTGACTTAAGTCCCCCTCAGGAACCCAAGCCTCAATCAGAGAATGTGTCTACATGTAGGACAGTCTGAAGACCCTCCAGATGTATAGAATGCAGCTAATATAATTTCTCAGGAGGTGTGGCCATTGTTGAGAATTACGTGGGATTGATCAGCTGGAGGATATCAGGAAGGTTAATATGGGCACAGTGCTAAACCAGGAAATTATTCATAAACAAGGGGAAAACGTTGACACTGGAAGAGAGATTATAGATTTCCTTTCCAAAATTATACATAGATAAAGGGTGAGTTCCTGAGTCAATAATTACTTTGCCTTCCATAATAATCCAGATAGATCATAGGCCATTTTTGGTCATTTTTTGAAAAGGAAGGATGGGACTTCTTTTGAAAGTGCCTTCTGGTATATCTTGTTGCTGCCCAAATCTTTGTTGTGTTCAGTTTCACTGCTGAAGAAGAGATTACTTGGCTGTAGAGCATTTGCTTTCCACTTGGAGAGACTGGGACTCTGTTCCCTATTATTAGTCAAAAGGGATTAGGGATCAGATAATGGGACAGATTTGTCTGCCTGAAACCTATTACAGCAATCAATAGTATTGAGTTAGATAAACAATTCCTCTTCGCTATATGTAAGCATTTCTGCTCTTTGATTATTTGAGATTAACAATGAGTAAAAGGTGGAGTAGACTATTGGTTGATCAGTGTGATTTATAGCAAAAATTTCAGAGTGTTGTTTGAAAGAAACAACAGAAGAACAGCTGGAAGAAGGAAATTGTGCTGCTGAAATTAAAGTATCTAAAAAGAAAACAAGAAATTCCTGATGGTTTGAAGGATTCTGTTCTGGCAAATTCTTGGTTTGGGAAATGAATTGAGTGTGTCTTTCACATTGCAGGATTGTAGTGAGGAAGAAAAAAGTTCTGTGAGTGTGAAATCTGCTCATTGCTGCTTCTTAAAGGCTGTTTAATTTTCAAAGCCAATGTCTCAAATATTTTAAGAACTCCCCACCACCACCCGCCAAGAGCCCTTAGAAAATTCTGCTTACCATATTTCATCATAATTCCATTCACTCTAAGGCTAAGCGCTTGGCTCGTGAAGAACCATATGGATCCCAGTACATTCAAAAGTTGCCCACTCCTATTCTAATCACATAGGAATATGATTTAGGATGTTTAAATAAAAGGCAAATAACTAGAATTTTTAAATTGAGATTATCAGTAGTTAATGATGTTGGAAAGTAATGCTAATGTTCCCTCTATAAGTATTACTCTCTCATAGGAGAAAGTTACATACGAATATGTGAAAATTATGTTTTTGCCTTATTCAGTGCAATAGAAAGAAGTTGGTTAGGGGAGTGAGGGGCTGCTTTAGAAATTCCTGTACTTACAGTGATCAGTTTCATACAGTAATGTGGCAAATTGTGGGAGGGACAACTACCTATTTAGCACTTCAGTCATCCTTAGATGTATTTTCTATATATAATTGTATTAAATTATTTGATTCTAAATCAAACATCAAAATATTTTAAAAACTAATTGAAATATATTAGTTTAATTTTATATTGATAACACAATGAAAAAATCTTGGGTGGGATCCTTATTAGTGAAGGCAATGCAAACCTTGCAAATCATTTTATATTTGTAAAAGGCATGCAAAAGTGAACTTACAAATCAGCCAAGACAGACTGATTGGATCTTTAAATGTGTATCCACGCACTGAAGTCTGTAATACTTAGAAAACTGTTAAGAAGAGACACATTTCTGAAATTTCAGCTAACAGCAAAGTGATGCTGCTTTCCCTATAAAAATGTATCCTTTTTTTTTTTTTTTGCCTTAAGATGCAAGCTATCTTGAATTGATATTAGTAGAAGCCTTGGTTTTTAATATTATGGAAATGTGCCTTTGCTTGAACTGTTGAATTTCACTTCAGATATGAGGTTATTTCCTATAATAGCTTCTTTTTCTGCAAATTCTGGACTTTAAATCAGATAAATTACTTAATATGCAATGGAGATGTGAAGAAAGGAATTGGTTGTGGTGAAGAAAAATAAACTCCTTAGTCTTGATTTATGTAAATTTTCTGCACAGAACTTATTTGGAGAACCAGCTGGAAAGGCGCTACGGAATTACTTCTCCCATTAGTTTGGCGCCACCAAAGGAAATAGATTATATGTATTCACAGAAATTGATTGAAGCCCTGAAGCCTTTTGGTGTATTTGAAGAGGAAGAAGAACTTGATCGCAGGTAAAAGGAAGTGTATGTAGTACTGCTGATCTTAAATGAACATTTTCTAATTACCAAAATCATAATAGTGAGGTTTCTCTTGGTGGAATTACAAAAGGATAAACCCCTTGACACCAATTTTTAAATGTTTTATTTTTATTAAATATTTCCTTACTGCAGGTTAGCTGTTCTAGACAAACTAAATAACTTGGTTAAAGACTGGATTGCAGAAGTTGCTAAAAATAAGGTAAGATGCCTGTCAAAGCTTGACTCCTCCAGACTATTTACCTTGTTTTAAGCTACTATAGAATTCTGTTGAGAGTAATAGAGATTTAGCAGTTTTTTAAGAGACGCTTGCTGTCAAGCTACAGGTACCCTGCCATATATGAGAAGACTAACTGTTCCCTCCATGGAGCTCTTCATCTCCCACTTTCCTTTCCTTTCCTTCCTGCCAGCTCTATTTTGGAGGCAATTGGGATAATCTTTGAAGCCACAAGACTTTGCAGCAAATGATACTTGATTGCTTTGGAAAGCTCATGACTTATCATTGTTGTTAAATCATTGATAGAGTCAAACTCTAACAAAAGCTCTTTGCAAAATTTCCTTTCCAAGGTGAAGGCAGGCAAAGGCTGAAGACAAGATGTCACCTTATTTGAGTTTTTTTTTACTTAGACGAGTGTTTGCTCAAAGATTGGGGGATAAGCTACAATTGACTTGGCACACAGAATGCATGAAATCATAAATTATGGCATGAATATTTCAGTGGCTGAAATTAAAAAACATGATAAAACTGGGCAAACTGCAGTACATTATAGCTCAGCATAATGCCAGAACATACCAGTCTATTGAATAATTTCTGTAAATGCACTCAGAGTAGTTCGTAGAAGCTGATAAAATGGATTACAGTTGAATAGATATGCTATAAGTAGGAAAAAGAAGGGGGGGAAAGAGTAAAACAAATTAAAAACTAGTTGCATGAGAAACTTCTGGAAAGAGCTAACAGTTTTAACTAAGACCATTGTCATTTTACCACTGGCTATAAAATATGTTGGTGATAATGACAATAATTGAAATACTTCTGGAATAGGAGGATTGATGAGAATGTTAACTGTTACAGCAGTGTTTCCACTATGTTCAGTTGTTTATTTCCGTGTGCACATTAAATATAATTGTGTACATTATTGGAATCACTGATTTTTTTCAAAGTAAAACTATTTCCTACTTTACTGTAGAACTTGCCAACTTTAATCTCATCCAGAGCTGGTGGCAAAATATTCACATTTGGCTCCTATCGGCTTGGAGTCCACACCAAAGGTAAGATCTACCAGATACATTGGACTATAATTATTTACATAATTTGCAGCTGGCATGGATAGACTATCAGATTGTGAAAGGCTGTTATAAACAGTCATGAACTGTGAACATGTTCATCTTTATCAATTAATTGCTATGACTGTTTTCTGGTAGGTGCTGATATAGACGCGCTCTGTGTAGCTCCTAGACACATAGAAAGATCAGACTTTTTCCAGACATTTTTTGAAAAATTAAAGCTCCAAGATGGCATCAGAAATCTGAGAGTAAGTCACTTTGTCTTTCTTTAACCATCTCAGGTGGGCATGTCATTCACTTGATGGTTGGGCAGCACTGTGTAAAAATTGTTTATTAACAAGCCCTGAAAGATTCAGAAAGGCTTTGTATTGAAGGGATACAAACTGTGTAAACATGTTTTATTTTCTATCAGTTGGAGTTTAGATTCATTCATGTTTATGTTCCAAATTAATGTTTGTTGACTTTCTCCCCTGCTAACTGGAAAATTCTGGGAGTTTGAAGTCCATATATCTTAAAGTTGTACATTTAAAAAAATGCCGTTCTAAATGTCTCTCCACCTCCTTAGGACAAGCCATTTATAATAGATGGAATAAGAAGATCTAGGAGCTGTTCTGGGTCTTGGAGGGACATATAAGAAGTACTCTCCCAAAAATAAAGGCAGACACTCAATTTAAAATAAGTAGTTGGCATGCTTATTTCCTATTTATTCATTTTCTTTCTATTGCATCAATAATTACAACTTTGAATTATGGGGTGAACCCAGGAGATTTGCTGCAATATGAAAGCTTTAATTCTCATCCTTTCTTGCTTCCTTAGCTTTGGGAAGTTCCCAAGTACAGAAGCACTGGTGTATGAATAAGAGAAGGCAAAAATATTGCTCTAGCTAAGCAATTTTATAGAAAGGTTGCCTGTATTTGCCAGTTAAGTTTTTCTGAAGATGAATTTGTCAGGGTATTTTTTAAAGATCCAGGGATTCAGGCCATTCAAAAGTCATTAATAATATGGGTAGTTAATTCAAAAGAGGGACTGGGGTGACATGATAACAGTTTTCCAATATCTAAAAGAAGAAAGCTATTTCTATTCCCCAAACCCCCTGAAAGCAAGACAAGAAACAATGGATGGAAACTAATCAAGGAGAGAGCCAACCTAGAACTAAAGGGAAATTTCCTGACAGTTGGAGAACAATTCATCAGTGGAATGACTTGCCTCCAGAAATTTGGGTGCTCCAACATTGGAGGTTTTTAAGAAGAGATTGTCTGAAATGGTATTGGGTTTCCTGTTTGAGCAGGGGATTGGACTAGAAGACCTCCAAGGTCCCGTCTAACTCTTATTCTGTTAATTGTTAGAAGGCACTTTCTTACATCTTGCTGGGATATAGAATCTAGGATTATTATAATCTTTTATAATCTGAACCCTGACACGTGGGGTGCTGGCACAACTTCAATTTTGTTTTGGTAAAAAACAAACTAGCTGTTTTAAAAGTATATGATAGATTCTGCTTTTTATTGAGGTATTCAAAGGTCATGTCTTTGGGGAGGCTGAGATTTCTGAACTTTCTGTTTTTCTTTTGGAAAAGTTATACCCATGATTGTGTTTTGCATATCTGCATTCTGGAAGCAGTGAAATAATTCAAAACTATTTCAAGTAAATGTTTTTCACTCCTTCCTACAGGCAGTAGAAGACGCATATGTACCAGTAATCAAGTTTGAATTTGATGGTATTGAGGTAAATATAGCTTTTATCCTTTTATGTACTATATAGACAGCTTCTGCTTGAAATTTGAATTTGATGATACTGGTTGTCCTTTTTAAGTGGAGAACTTGTTCTTAAAGTCATATTTGGATAAGAGGACATAAAGCTATATAGATTCTCTCCAAATGTGAATGAAGAGATGTAAGCTTAGATCAGGAATGGCTTGGCACTTAGGTAACAGAATTTTGGCAGATCCCACTGGAAGCAAATTTGGACTAGGTTTCCATTGGTCTTCACAGTGACATGATTGTTAGCATAAAAGAAAATTCAGCTGACATATCTCTTTCCTGGTCAGTAATCAAAAAGAAAAGCATTGGGAAATAAACAATACTAATAATACGATAATAAAGTTGCAAGCAAATAAAAAATAGTTCTCCTTGGAAATTGGAAATAAGGCATTTCTGTGTCAACATAAAGAAGTAAAGTGATTTGCATTTATTAAATGATACTTGGTACCCTAACATATATGTAAATTGAAGATATATACAAGATCATATGTTATGTCATATGTTAGCAGACTGAGAAGCAAACTTTTAAACACTAGGTTATGCCTTACTAATGGAAATATGAAATAGAGAAGAAATTTATTAATTTACACAGCCTTGTAAATTAGCTGATATATCTTGAGGGTATGGGGAATATAGAAGTCCTGCAAAACTGAAGTCTGACTGTACTAAGTGTAACTGAGCATGCAGCAGTTTGCCACGGTGGCTGACATTATGCAGCCTTTTTTTACAGTTCCAGAAGAAGTGCATATGAATTGTAAGAGTGATGCAGTACAATATTACACAGGCTATGTGTATGGAATTTTGTGAGATATTTCTTCTACCTTCTGTGCCGGATACATAGATCAAACCAGAATGCCTGCTACTTGGTAGCTCATTGTTAGAGTTACTGCTACCATTTTCATTTCTTACATTTTAGATTGATCTCGTCTTCGCAAGACTACCCCTGCCAAGCATTTCAGATAGCCTGGACCTTAGGGATGATGCACATTTGAGAAGCCTTGATATCAGATGCATTCGGAGTTTAAATGGTAATTTCAAAGCTTTCCCTAGTCTTCATGCAGTTTTATAATTTGGCTTGAGGATTCAGGCTAGGAATAATTGTCTTCTCAAAACCTGTGAAACAGTGGCTGGATAGTGAATGTTAAAAATGTGTGCTTTTGAGTGTTTCACGTGATAATGGATGGAATGGAGCAATCCATTAATTTCCATCCATAAGCAATGGATGGAAATTAATCAAGGAGTGAACCAATCTAGAAATTTCCTGATAGTTAGAACAATTAATCTGTTGTATAACTTGCCTCTAGAAGTTGTGGGTGCTCTAACCGTGGAGGTTTTTAAGAAGAGATTGGACAGCCATATGTCTGAAATGGTATCGGCTGCTTGACTTCTGAAATTCAGTTTGCTTAAATATGATGGAACTCTCATACACAAGTGTAAATAGCATGTAACACTTTTCAGTATTCAAAGAGAAATGCTCCAGTTATTGCAAAAAATCATTTTGCAACAAAAGTTCTTCCAATACTTAAGGCTCTGTCACAGAGAAGAGTGGGTTGACCTATTTTCCAAAGCACCTGAGAGCAGGACAAGAAGCAATGAGTGGAAAACATTAAAGAGAGCTCCAACCTAGAATTAAGGAGAAATCTCCTGCAGTGAGAACAATTAATCAGTGGAATAGCTTGCCTCCAGAAGCTGCTCCATCACTGGAGGTTTTCAAGAAGACATTTGTCCAGAATGATATAGGATATCCTGCTTGAGCAGGAGGTTGAAGTAGAAGACCTCCAAGGTCCCTTCCAACCCTATTATTCTATATTCTAAAATCCTGTTGGGTAAGTCAGGAGGATCATGGTATTATTAATGACATGATATGACCAGATTAACATAAAGGCAAATTCTACCAAATTCCTCACCGATATTGGAAAAACATAAAACTTCTACCACCACCTCACCACTATTGGAAAAATAGGCATTGGTTTTTAACATTGCTGTCCCAATCCTGCACTGGGGTTCATTGCTCAGTGGACCCACACACCCAGTGGACCCACTGAATAACCCAGATGGAAATTGTAAAGAATGTTTATTCTGCTGAAGAAAATGACATAGGATCATCTCTCTCAAAGCCTATGTAACCCCCCCAATGTCTTCTCTGTGAGCTTTAACATTTACCATAAGTTACAGCATGCTCACATCACAAGGTCACAAGATATTTTTCCATGTGCCTTTAAAGTAAGTCCTGTATTTTTAAGATTTCAGCATTGCACATTTGCATAATACAATACTCAACAAAGTTGCATAGGTTAATTAATGCTACCTGTTCCATACCATGCCTTTTCCTGCAAACTTCCCTTTCCAGAATCCATATTTAGCCATAATATTTGCAAATCTGTCCTGTTGGCCTTAATATACTTGGGGTTACTTTTTAGCAAGCTAAGTATGTTTAGGCTTTTATTGAGCTTTTATCAAACCTTTGTTGGAAATTTGGGGTTTTCTCTTCCAATATCAATCCTGTTCTTAAACAATTGGGCCATCTGCTGATAGAAATATGACATACAAGACTTTTAATAATTAATATATGCGGTGCCTATGTATTTAATATGTTTAAGTGTCAAAGAGCTAGGTTCTTCAGAAATACATCCATGAAAATCTGGAGAGTTTATATCCATCTTCCCAATTGGAAAGAAAAAACAAGCATTTAAGTTACAGTATTCATATTGAGAGCCAGATTGGTATTGTGATTAAGGCATCAAGCTAGAAATCAGGACACACTGAGTGCTAGTTCTGCTTTAGGCGCAAAGCCCAGCTCGGTGATCTTGGGCCATCACCCTTTCTCAATCCTAGAAAGCAAGCAATAGCAAAAATATATTGATGTTGCATGATTGTTATAGCAACTAGATTTAAAGAACTAGCATTGAGAATAATACTTGGATATGGAAAAATATGGTAAAATGCGCTGAATCATCTTTTATTTAAAAAATGTCTTTTATATGTGGGATAACATTTAATATTACTGTTTCAGACCAGTGTTCACCATTTTTTTCCCCAGGATGACTTAAGCAAAACAAAGACCTCATGTACCAACATTTTTCCAACCTGGAATGTTTCAGATATGTTAAATTACATTCCAGTTACTGAACATGGCTGGGAATTCTTGTCAATGCGATGTACTGAATCTGGATAGCAGGGAGCTGAAGAATGCTGCTGTAGACCATTGTTTGCCATTATTGGTGCTTTGCCTGTTTAACTTGAAACTTTAATGTTTGTCGGCAGGTTGCAGAGTCACTGATGAAATACTTCATTTGGTACCAAACAAGGAGAACTTCAGGCTGACACTCAGAGCAATTAAACTGTGGGCTAAGCGTAAGTACTTAATACATCAAATTTTGCATTATCAGCTGCAGGGTTTAATAGTCCTTGAAACGATTCTTTAGGATAAGCTAAGTGAATTTGCCATATATGAATGTTTTCTGCAAATCTTCATAATGGTAGTTGGATACCATAATGGTAATTTAGTGGGTCCTGAAACAAATTTACATGTGTCTAATGTTTGCAAAGCAGTGGCTGGGTATGTGTTTGTCATTCCTGTTGAATGCTCAAAACCTACTTTAAGCTACATCAAGTAGTTAAGCATTGGTATTTGAGCTGGACATCTACCCAGATTGTAAAAGTGACAGAACAATTAATCAGTGGAACAACTTGCCTTCAGAAGTTCTGGGTGTTCAATCACTGGAGGTTTTTTAAAAGAGACTGGACAACTACTTATTTGAAATGGTATAGGGTCTAGAAGATTAGAAGACTTCCAAGCTCCCTTTCAGCTATTTTATTCTGTTACAAAAATTCAGTCCTATGAAAGAACAAGAACAGAAACATTGCAGTTGCCCTTCTACTAACTACATCACCTCAAAGCCTCTCCTGGGCCTGGCAAGTAGCACTGAGGTTCCTATGAGAATCAAGAAGTAGTATAACCAAGAAAATCTGATGAGCTGTTCCTCATTGGAAATTAGACTTGTACTCACTTTGTTATAAAAATTGTGTATAAATTATATCATGTACTCTGCTGTAATTCTTAATTCATAGTGCTGAAAGTTCAATCCAAATATTGAAGAAGTCACAGTGCCTTTCTCATTCTTATCGGTTATGAAGGTGCATTATTAGAACATACATATAATAGTAGACATGACTAGTCTGGAGTTATCCTTAGCTATAGGAAAAAAGTTATTTGCTTCTGGACACTGAAAGGCATTAATATTTTCCAGCAAGAGTAAAGTAGTTCATTCTTTTTAAGAGAAACTTTAAACATAATGTCAGCTCAATCAAGGGATTAGAACACATGACCCCTTAAACCAATATCTGTGTTTCTTTGCACGTAAGAGGAGGCTCCCTTTGGTTTATGCACTCCCCCTCCTCCTCTGAGCATCTGGAAAGGGGTCCAGGTACAGATCCAAGACAACTTCTCTCTCTCCAGAATATGTGTACTGGACTGTTCTATGTGTTGTTCGTGTTCTGTGTGTTGTTTGATTCCTGATTGTGTGTAGCTTTTAGTTGTTAATTATTAAGTCTGTTAAGTCATTGATTGTTGCTTCCTTGTGCTGCTGCACCCTTGGTTCCTAAGTACCTGATAGGCTGGCGGTAAATCAGTGTTGTTAGGGATACACCCTAGCAGAATGTGCACGGCAGTCAGGCAGGCAGGCAAATATGTGAGATAAACGTTTTTTGTAGCTTACACTCAGTAAAACAGATACACTGTGCTAGTTAAATAGTTTATTCCAGTAAGAGTTTTAGCATAGTCAAACAGTCCATATATCATTCACTAGTTCAGTCCATTCGGGGATTATTCAGTTGCAAAGTCCAGTGTCGAAAAAGAGGTCAGTAAACTTACAAATATCAGTCCAGTAATATATCTTCTCGCAGTAGAGATATAAAGCAGTCAAACCTCCTTTCTTCCTTCGACGTTCCAAAAACTCAGCAGCAGGGAACACGCAGTTAGCAAACCATCAATCTAGCATAGTCAGCAAGCAAGCAAACCAGCAGGTTCTATTGCTCCCTCTTATGGTGGTTGCACCCAAAATTACATGCTTTGCAGTTTAAAGTGACACACACTTAAACTTACTATCATAGTTTATATATATTATTTTACCCAAACTACGTTAGGTAACCTTGTTATTCCTAACAAGTGTTTCTATTGATGGACAAGGGCCCTATTTTTCATTCTAATTTTAGGAATTTGAAATATTCACTTGTGCATTGCGAGATGACAGTGGCATTTGTCAACCACCCAGAACTTTTATAGCATATGGTTCTAGTCAGACTTCAGACTGCTGCTATGATGCTGCTAGAGCTGAAGTCTAGGGACCTAAATGATGGAGAGAGGGGGATAAATTGATGAAAAGGTGCTGAGACTGACAATAATCACTGTGACATCTTTCCTATTATTAAAAACATTTTATTGCCAAGCTTGGCTGGATATACCTGCTAGTTCTTTTATATTTTTTCAATGTCTTGAATAAGGCACTTATTACTAAGCAAAAAATGTTCATTATCAGGTTAATCCTGCATTTGACAACTGAATAAAGAATATTTTGTAAGGGCATTGAACAAAGTATTGTAAGGTGCATGTATAATTTGGGTATGTAACCCAACTATTAGCTTGAATTGCAACCCAGCGCATCATCCCTGATTATCAAGCTGGTGAGCTGTGGACAGTGAGAGTATGGGCTGAATCTATTTTCCTAGGCTGGTTTGTCCAAATTGCAGCTGCTCACCTGCTATCCTTAAAGGGAAGCGAGGCAAATCAGCAGCACAGAGATGTCTATTTAGGGTTGCAGGAAACAGGAGAGGTGCCTTTTAAATTCAACTATTTCCATGCTTGCCTAGTTTATAACATACAAATGGCCACAAGGTGGAATACTTTCAAAAGGAAAGCAATTGCTAGAATCAAAGTCCCAATAAGAAATATGTAGAAAATTGCTGCTGGGGAGCTCAAAACTAAGTGTTAGTTAAAGCTGTCTTTGGGCTGTTGTGCAAGCTTCTATTTCAGAATTTTTGTTTCAGTGTTTTGGCTTTGCTGAGTGTTGTGCCATGTTAGATACAAGGGATCTGCCATCAGATTTCATAGTCTTGAGATAATTAAAGGGGGTTGAGAGTTCAGCCTCTTAAGGGAGGTGAAGTGGTTCTGTCTTAATTTTGGAAGTATTGCTGGCAGTCATGTTTTTGCACTTCTTTGCATTGTGCTCATGTTCTAAATTTCTTTCTTATACCTAAAATGCTGCTTATTTCACTGAGTGTAAACTATTCAGTGGTGATAAAAGTAGTAGAAAATACAATCATCTATTTTTCCATCTCTTTTAACCTACCTGGTTTAGAAAAGAAAATGAACTAATTTAAATCAGACTCTGAAGCAGGCTGAATTATCACGGTCTAGTTTTCTTTTGTCCTGATGTTTTACCAGAATCTGTGGCAGGACAAAAGAATACTAGAGCACACATTCAGCCCAAAAGCTCATCACTGCTTCATTGATGCCAGCCATGATAGCCTATACCAGTATAATGAATGAGACTGTTTGAAATACTGAGTCACATCTGGGTGCCAAATATCTATTTTTAGGGCGTGGAATTTATTCCAACATGCTGGGATTCCTTGGTGGTGTTTCTTGGGCCATGCTGGTGGCAAGGATCTGTCAGCTATACCCAAATGCTTTGGCAGCAACCCTTGTTCACAGATTCTTCTTAATTTTTTCAAAGTGGTAAGATTTATTTATTTAGTAAATGAATAGACAACCCAGCCCACTATCCAAAGCAACTTTTGATTAATGTATTGGGCCTCTACTGTGTAAGCAATGCAGGTTATATTATAGACTAACAAAACATTACACTAAGCTATGATTGGCAAGTCAAGTAGCTTGAAATCATGTCTCTTCCTGATAAGTATTCATCCTAGAAAGTTTAAAGTTTGTTGTGCAAAGGAATTTGCCTTCTGCTATCCAAATTGGTTTTCTGAAAACATTTATCTGGCATAGAATTTCTTCAGAAGAATTCAATTCATAATTGGTTTACATCAGGGCTATCAAACTCAATCTCATTGTGGGTCACATTAGGATTTTGTTTGCCCTTGGAGAGTTGGGGTAGGTGTGGCCTGTTCATCACGGCTGACTGGGTGGGTGTGGCTGGGTCAGCATGGGCCAGCCCCTCGCCGTCTCCGTAGATGACCCCGCAGGACAACTCTGGGCCTATTGTGGGCTGGATCCAGCCTGTGGCCCATGTGTTTGACACATCTGGTTTACATGCTTAGATTCTGAATGGTCAATTGTCTCAGGAAGGCAACCATTACTAATAAGCAACATGCTCCTTAAAGCATACAGAAAGAATATAGCTTTTAACTACCACTCCAGTTAACTTTCTCCTAGTTCAAATAGAACAATGTTGCTCAGTATGCCAAAGTCCTACCTGGAGTTGCCTGAAATAGAATTCTTAGAATGACACAAGAAAATACTTAAAGGTTGGAGTGTGATAGCTGCAATTAGTTTAAATTAAATTTAAATAGAAGAGAAATTAAATTATTTTGTCATCTTTTTTGGAGTACAGTACTGGTATTATAGGCCATTGTGGGCCTCAGCCTTATAGTGTGCATTCCTTTGATAATTAAAAAATCGTCCATTAGTGGAATTGCTAAAATAATTTATATTTGGCTGTTTTAACTCTTACGTCTCCATAGGTGACCTTGGGCTTATTCACTTTTTGAAAATAATAAAAGACTTACCCTCCCTTTGGTATTAGTTCTCACAAGAATTGTTTTGGGGATTACAGAATCTTGCAGGATCCAATCTGGGTCAGTCTCCAGAACCAGAAGTTTAGTTCACTACAGAATCTGGTTATATGCCAGAAAGTTAATCTCCCTTGCATTTGTTATTTGTTTCCTAGCATTGGTATAAAATAATGCCTTCCCAGCCTGGTAACCTCTAGAGCAGCTGTACAACTTGACAACTTTAAGACTTTGTCAAGTTCAGCTCCCAGAATTCTTCAGCCAGCCATGCTGGAGAAACCCTTGTTCTAGACATTACTGACATGCATCCACTTCTGACTAGCATAGCAGTGTTGCTGGAAAGTTATGGTTGTTGTAATCCTGAAAGGTGGCATATTGGGGAAGGCAGGCATATCTTATGTTTCTACTGTTTGTAGTGTAGAGTTTCTATGTGTAGTTCACGTTTTGTCAGATTGCCTGTACATATTAGCATTGTGTGCAAATTAATATAATGGGCAGAGCAAATTCTGAGCCCATATACAGTTCATCTGTTGGGAAAGAATGAAAGAAATTTAATTCTCCAGAATTACCAGTTATCTATCTTGCTTGCAGGGAATGGCCCAATCCTGTCTTGCTGAAACAACCTGAAGAGAGCAATCTCAACTTGCCTGTCTGGGACCCCAGGGTTTGTAAACCACACCACTTTGAGATGAGAACAGTAACAGTTCTTGATGGAGGGCTTTTCAGTATCCATTCCTTTTCTAAAAGATTATCTATTCTGTGAAGGTCTTTTGAGTTATGTGGAGCAACATGGGAGTAGAGGAAATGTTCACAGAAAATAATGTTTGGAATGTTTGGAACAAAATCCATTCCTAAACTGAATGTCCCTGTCTCATTTCAAGACAAAATGCATGCAGGGCATTGTGACATTGTGTAATATGCTTTGTAATCAATTTTGTGGTTATGTCACATTCTTGCTTCATACTCTGAGCTATTTTTTAAAATTGCTTTAGACTTATTGGGCTGCTTTGCAATTATCTATTCTGAGTAGGGAAAAGATATTTCCTGATAAGTGAAGGTGTTTCTTCTGCATTTTCTATTGAATGCTAAACTTTAGTTAGCAGCAATAAAGTACTGCTGGACATGCATAAAATAGGTTGCCTGGATTATCTTTGGTATAATGACAATAGTTACAATAGTTAAGTCAGATTGATGTTATATTTCCCTGTTTCAAATCGAGGCTAAGACTTCCATTTATATTGGCTTTTCTAAAGGCCAGCTGGTGAGTTGGTGGTTGGTGAGATTTTTGGTTCATATTTTGAAGCTTAGTTCTTCATGGAATCACCCATTTATCTATGACAGGTAAATCCAGCTGACAGGTATCATCTAATGCCCATTATCACTCCAGCTTATCCACAGCAGAACTCCACATATAATGTGTCCACATCAACCCGAGCAATCATGGTAGAAGAATTCAAATATGGTAAGTCACATCTCCATTGCCTCTATATTTTGCATAGCAGAGTAAGAACAGTTATTTGCTGGATTATCTGTTTGAAGAGTTTTGCATTTTCCTCTTCTGAGTGGATACAAAAAAGTGCTCTGGATCATTTTTGTTCACTGGCAATCTAATAGGAATGCATTTTCATTGAATAATATTGTTATTTTCGCAAAGATGGATGTCTACGGATAAGTTTCATTTATTTTTCTATTTATTATAATACCACTTCAGTGGAAATGAATCTATGCAACTTACAAAAGCAACCAATGATAAATAGCCATAGAAAAATAGATATAACTATCTTATGAATTAAGCTATTGCTGTATTAGTATCTGGTTGTTTCAGAAATTTCTTAAAAGGATAAGGGAGACTTTGTCCAAACATTCTTTGCCCTGTTTCACCTCAGCAAAATTTAGGGAAAAAAGGCATTCTTTGGGACAGAGGAGCAATTTCTCCTTCAATGTTTCAGGGTTGGAGGGATTGATTAGTGGCGATAGGAAGATTGACTTTATTCTCCATTTCCCCCCAGGTGTACCTTTACTGATGCAAGTAAACAACATTCATGTCATTGTTGCTGATTTTGCTTGGTCCTATTCCTGTCCTTATTCTACATTGTTTTATTCTACTGTTTTAAGGGAAAACAATAGCCTTCTTAAAAATAACAGAACAATTTCTCATGGGACAGGAGAGAATGGGGTGAAAAATATTCATAGAGAAGTCTCTCTTTTAGACATCTCTTGTTTCAAGGATTGTAGAAATGTGGCACTGGGAGTCTTTTTTTTTTAATAAAGTTTTATTGAGTTTTAACAAAACAAATAAAACATCTTATTTGAGTATAGCATGGTTCTGGGTTATCACATTTCCATACAGACACAATTTCATATGCATATTCATCTTATATATTCAACTTCATATCTTATTACTCTTTTTCCAACTTCTCACTATTTCTCCCTTTACTTCTCTTAATTTTCTTTTATGATTATCCATTTTCTTCTTATTTAATTGTATTTCTTTTACCTAAATTTTGATATCTTTTTATTCATTATACTTATACTTTTGTCTGTCTTGTTTACAATTTCATTATGTTCTCTTCGAACATACTTAAAAAGCAAAATTCCCTCTATGATTGCCAATCGGAGTGCAACACCTTTAAGTCTTATTGTTATTATCATATGAAATCTCATTAAACATTAAATTTGTGCATTCTAAAATTATAACATTCAAATTTCTAATATCTATTTTATATCATGTAAATCTCATCATTCAGACTCTGCTTGGTACTTCCCCTTGAAAATGTAAAAAGAAAAATTCTAAAAACATAGCAAAAACAATGTGTGTGTGTATACACACACACACACACACACACACATTAGTAAACAAAATAGTTATTCAAATTCATTCTAGTACTGGTATGAACCTTGTAAATCTTTCACGTTTCTTTTCAATATTTATCAATCTTTGAGAACAGTTGAAATGTTTCCCTCCCTTCTTCATTATTACTTAACTGTTAAGTATACCATTGGCACTGGGAGTCTTGATTTTGATGTGTGGATGGGCATTGGGAAGAATTAACTATTATTCCCCCTTCTCTCTTTTCATATTCATCTCTTATTTCTGATAACATCCATTTATCACTAGTGACTATCCAAGGTGAGATACAAAGTGTTCCCATGTACTGTAGCTTAGGGATAGGATGCCAGCCCTAAAAATAGAGATTGAGATGGAAATGTGGCACTATTTATAATTGACCCCAACAGGAAGAATATTAGAATGGGCACAACCAGAAAAAAACAATGGGATACTTGAGGTTAAGGAAAGTTCTTGATGAGATTTGTTATGACTTAGAACTCCTATTATTCTTAGTCTCAATGACCTTTGTGGAACCGACACTTCTGAATTTATAACTGTTTATTGTAAAGTACTTACTACAGGTGTGTTATATTTAAACAGGTCTCATGGTTACAGATGAAATTTTTCAAGGAAAGTCGGATTGGCCAAAGCTGCTTGAGCCACCCAACTTTTTTCAAAAGTATAAGTATGTAAGATCACCAAGGGTTTCAGAAATCACATTTCAGCAACTAAATATTCTGTATTTTAGCTAGCAATGCATCCTAAGCATCTTATGGGTAAAAGCATATGCTAAAATAACAACAATGGAAATATGGCATACTAATATTATATAATTATAATTATATTGGCTGAAACAAGAATTGGTTAATTGCTCCGTATACTGTATTTCCTGTAGTAGGAATCATGAATTTGTATTAGCCATTAATCTCTATGTCAATCAAGTATGTTTTGTTCCAGTTTCCATTTTTGATAAACTGTCTTGCTTAAAACAAGCTCTTCTACCACTCTTGAATGATGCCAAAGCCTCCTTAGCCTTACACATGAGGGAGAATTAATGTGGGAGAAGCACATCAATACACTTCAAGGTTAGGGATGATTTTAGAAGAGACAATGTTATAAATAAAGTTAATAAGAATTGAAGATTGAGTAGGCAAAGCTAAAAGTTTCCCTTGCACATACGTGCTAGCCGTTTCTGGCTCTCGGGAGGGGGCAGTGCTTACAAAGCCGAAGAGCCAGCACTGTCCGAAGACGTCTCCGTGGTCATGTGGCCGTCATGACTAACCACCGAAGGTGCACAAAACGCTGTTACCTTCCCACCAAAGTGGTCCCTATTTTTCTACTTGCCTTTTTACATGCTTTCAAGCTGCTAGGTTGGCAGTTGGAAGATTGAGTAGCACAGTTTTAAATAGTTTAACAGTAGTTTTAATAGTTTAGTTTTAATATTAAAACTATTAAATATATCCAATTGTAGTTCTCTATTTTTCCAGGCACTATATTGTATTGACTGCTGTTTCTTCCACTGAAGAACATCATTTGGAATGGTAAGCCTATTTTTTAAATGCTGATAATAATCCTAATTTTAAAATCAAATGCATTTCAGAAAGGAATGGTGGGGATGTCTTTCCCTCATTGTCTTCATTAGGAACAATAAGATGTATTTCCCAAATCAACTGAACACATTACATTCAAGTATCCAAATTAATAATATGGTGATATTATTTTCAGTGCATGAGCAGAAAAATCAACAGTCTCATCTATTTTGTATAAATTGTTTTGCAAGTTACTCAGGTTATTTTAAGATTTCAACTTACTTGCTCTGACATCTATATTGTGACAAGCTTTAACCACATAATTTTAGGTGTGTCTACATGCATGAAGGTATAAAAACATTGAAAAAAACTAAAGCTTTCAGTACTAAATTCTATGCACACAACCACATCAAGAGAGTTGCAGGATGAACCCAGTTGTAAGCCCACCCATCATGTAATTCTTGTCTAATATCAGGTCAGTCTAATTTCTAACCACACTATCTATTTTATGATTATACTCTACTAAGCCATAATGTGGTTTGCTTGCTTTGGCTTAACATATTGTTTGAAACTATCCATCATGGTTCATAAGTCATAATTCATGGATTGACATACTATGCACAGCCAAGCCAGTTATGATTTATTTAACAAACTATGACTTTTCCTAGTATATAAACACAGTCTGCAATTACTAAAAAGAAAATCAGAGTTGTTACATGTCATTCCATAATAGCATTTAGTTTCCAATAAATAAATACAAACAATTAGAGAACAAGTTTGAATAGAGATAGTTGGTTTTGGTTTTGGTTTTGCTGCTGAAGATCCTGGTGACTAGCACAAATGTCTCCATTTTGATTGTCTCCAGTGAGAACCCATAACTCTTCCAAAGACATTCCAATGATGTCTCTGATCCTGATCATCCTCTATTCATTCTCCTCTTCTTCTCGTCAATCAGAATAGTTGATAGGTTCACATCACATGTCTCAAATATGACTTTCTGTTTATACATAATCTCAAGGAAGTAAATAATGGTTAATTAGTCCAGGATGGATTAATTGATTCCTCTTGCCGCTGAGGTTATTATGGTCTTGTCTGAAACCTTGAGTCAGAAACTAAAGAGACAGACCAGCATCTTGAGGAATCAAAAAGTAATTAGCACCTACAGCAGTTTTGGGAGACAATGAGCCTTAACTAGGGAGACCTAGGGGCCAGTTTCTGGTAGGAGGCCTCTCTCAAGAATAAGTGGTAGCCACAAAGGACTGAGCAAAGGGAAACATTATAGCATGCCTCCTTGAGGGGAGAGGGTGATAACATTGCTAATCCAGCCACATTAGCACTCCATTGGAAAAAAGTCACCTACTGGAAAAACTTGACCTGCATTCCTGTCATCCTTGCTCTGCATTTGGACTCTTTCGGATTGGCTCCTGGAATTCTCTAGTGATCAAACAGTGGACTTTTACAGTAAACTCGTGTACCTCTGCCTGTCTTTGTTCCTGTGGCAGATTGTTATAGTTCAACTTAATGGATTCTTTGAACTTTTCAAGGTGTTAAGTGCTCTTTGGCTTTATTTGTTGATTCATTCAATTCATTCACCCTGAATCTTATTAGAAAAATTATGACAACAACAACATCCGGCAAATTTGTACGTCCCTGGAATTTATTGTTGCTTTAAAGGGTCCAGATACCAACATTCTTAGTCAACGTCTCCAGATCTATGATTCTAAGGTGTGAACTTTTTTTCAATGTTCAGCTTTCAGAAATATGCATCACCACTGAGAACCTTGTTTTAAATATTCTGATCTTCATTTTAAGAATGTTAGAGTCCTTCCTGATCTTATTTAACACCATGCATCCTACAATTGATATCTTCTTTATTTTTCTATTAACTATCCATCTTCATTTTTAAGTCAAAGAAAATAAAACAATGTACCACAATCACGTCTTCATTTTCAATTGTAAATTCACTAAGGCTAATTGATGCTGTTATCTTAATAATTAGCACAAATCCACATTTTTCATTTTTTGTTTCATAACAAGCTATTTACATTCAGCTAACAAACCTGTTTTATCTATGTATCTCAGATTGCCAAGAGTTTCAACTTCCAGTTGTCATCTTTAGAATCTTGTCATTATTATATTTATTGAGACAGACAATATTCATCCTTGTTTTACTTACATATACTGAGACACTATGCTTCTAAAATTACTACTCATAGTAGCTTCTTGTTAATTGTAAGTGTTCGTCAGAAGAATAATCAGCTGTTCTGACACACCACGAGTTCCACATTCTGGCATGAACTTTTAGTCAAAGGTCTTGCTGTAGTTAATAATACAGAGTTGCCCATTTATATTTTCTTGTTCTCATTGAGAAAGCATAAAAGCAACATAAAATTTTTCCTGTTCTTTGAACTTTCTCCCTTCAAGTTGAGGATGACCCCCAACCTGCTGTCTTTTGATAGGCCTTGGAAGACCTGGCTTTGTGTCATGATTTGGGGCTTTAAGGACTTAAGAGCCCCAAATTTCCTGATTATATTGACATTTATGATAACAATTTTATTCAGCTGCCACACATTTTACTATATTGTAATTGCTTTTAATTGTTTTATGATTGTTTACTGCCCAGAATCATTTGTCTGACATGGACAATTTAGTAAGTAAGTAAGTAAATAGTAAAACAAAGCATAAAATAAAATATGTTAACAAAAGAAAATGTACAACATAGATTTTAAACAAGCTTAGCGCATGTGGGAAATTTAAACTGAAAATACTGAAAAAAACAAAGAGACACCAAGGCTCACTGAGATCATGATCCTCAATGGATCATTTGAAGAAGAGCTTAACATACTCAGTTTGATTCTTGAGGGAGGTCATTTTGCAAGTACTATGGTGTAACCTGATTCTTGATACCCTTTAAAAATGAAAAACAGCTTTTATGTTCCACTCACTCCACTCTGGAAGCGGGAAGTAGCACATGCATATTAAGGTCAAATGACCCCAGAGCAATTATCAATAAAAGACTTTTCTACAGTTTGCAAATAATTTTATTATATGCATTATAATAAAATTATTTGCAAACCATAGAAAAGTATTTTATATAATGCATATATCATTTATTGTTTATGGATATTAAAAAGTGAAAAATACAAAAACTACTTGGAAAAGTAGATAATTTTTCTGCTCTTTATAGTCCAACTGATTTGCAGTACTTGTAAACATTTAGACCCTTTCAGAAATCATACATTTTGTAGCCCAAAAGGATTATCAGCTCTCGTTGATTACGTATTATGATCTCAACCTGAAGAAAGACAATGTGGATTCAAAGACTCCTTTGACTCTGATGGACAATATATAAACTTCATCCTTTAAAAAAGGAGTTGATGTTAGCTCCTAAATCAGCATCAGCCTTTTTCCCCAAGTCTAATTTAAATATAATTTCTTTTTTTTTTTAATTTTTATTCTTTAAAAACAAAAATACAAAAATCTCATTTCCATTAACAGTTATTGTGTCATTGTATATACATGTTTCTTATTTTGTGACTATACATTATTTTTATCCTTATCCTTCACCCATTCGTACCACCTCTCCCATGTCGCATAGTATTCTTGATCCTCTTTGCCTTTCAGTTCCATAGTGAATTTATTTAGTTCAGCACAGTCCATTATTTTTTTAATCAAAACTTCATCTGGTGGTATTTTTAAAATATCATTTCTATATAACACTTTGTTGTGCTAATTATCTGCTGCTTTTTAATTTACTGTTTTTTATTCTTGTGTGTTTCAAACTTGTGATGGATATTTTTATTTCTGAAATTCGTCCTGTGGATGTAAGGAATTATAAATGCTGAAAAAAACTATTTTCTAGTATTAAATCTCTCTGTCTCTCTCTTTTGTGTTCCGTGCATTGCGCCCTCAAATTGCATGGTGACATATTTCCAAAGGTAGTTGATAGTTTTTGCCACTTTGACACGTTGCTAACTGAGGCTGATTTTCTCTCTGTAGGGTTGGCTTGGTGGAGTCTAAAATCCGTGTTCTTGTTGGACACTTGGAGAGAAATGAATTTATTAATCTTGCCCATGTAAATCCACAGTCCTTCAGTGGGAACAGGGATCAGTACAAAGAGTAAGTTAATGTCAACATGTTGCATTGTTGTCTGCTTTTGCAGAGAGGCTAATGCTTCTAATTAGTAAGCCTTGTATAGCTTGTCTGTCTTTCCATCCTTAGTTGTTTCCTTGGATAACGAGACAAAGCAGGCACTGGGAAAATATGGGAGGCATATGATAATGATGCTTAATCTATAGGCAACTTTAGTGTGCTGTAGCACAAAGATGATTTGTGTCACAATTGATTTGAAGCCTTCAAGGTACACCATTGGATTTTATATTTTGTCAAATAGTTTTATGCCTATGGAGATTCTCAGTCATCCAATTCATGGTTGTCCCAAAGGTAACTGGACTTTTTTTGGGGGGGGAGGGGGGGTGTCCCTTGAAGACACTTAGCTTCTCATCCAAGAAGCTTCTTCAGTTCTGAAGAAAGTTCAGTTGCCTTTTGAAAAGCACTTTTGGGTAATATAGTTTTAATTATTCTTCTCAGCAAACTTTAAGAGATTCTAGATTCACCCAAGCACACTTTCATTTATTTGTTTGTTTGTAAAACTTATATGGCTGCCTATCTTATATCAGAAAATCCTAGGCAGCTTACAATGATATTCATTAACAATAAAAATAAAATCAACTGAACCCCAAAGCAACACCATATAGCTAAACCAGAACCTCCTACTTTACTTTACATTTACATTTGCTTGGACTCCCTTTGATCTTTGCCCAATGTGAGGTTTTCATAGCCCTCCAGAAGGACTACTAGGGTAGAGGCTCTACAGATCTCAAGCAGCCAAGGCACCCTCTGAAAAGGAACCATGCCTACTTTTATTAATTAACACGGAGTTAGCTTTAATATCAGTGACACATACTATTTCTCTCTATTTTCTTTTAAACCATAATTCCTAGTGACTGGAAAATGTACATATATTGTAATCTTGAATTGCCTAATAAAGTATGACTGAAAGGGAGTTTGGATTTTTTTTTTAATGTCTAATATAGCTGGTTTTTGTCTATTTAATAGGATTAGAATGTAAATAAGCATTGGGTTTATAAATGCATATGGCCTAAAGGAATAAAAGCATGGTAGAGAGCATTTGCAAGGAATGACTAACTGATGTGAATAAAGTTGCTTACTTTGAACTTGCCTTTGCACATTTCCCTCTTTTTCTACCTACCTAGCCAGGTAAGGATAGGGGCAGACAGACTGTTTTGCAGTAAAATCAGCTGATAAGGAAATAGTTCAGTTTCTTCCTGGCTGATTATATTCCTGGTACCCATAAGTGCCAAAGGGGTAGGGAACCTACAACATTCAACCACATCTAAGCTGCATTCAACCTTTGAGGGCATTTACCATAGTGTGATGTTACATGTCTTCTCCAAACTTCTCTGTGGTGCAGCTGCTATGCAAGTTTTCTGGAAGCCCTGTTCCTGCTAACTCCAAGTCAAGGAAAACTTCCCTGTGCAGGCACCAGAGCTTCTTGGAGAGTTTGTGAAGGGTGTGAGCTCTGTAGTTATTTGTGTCTTACAGAAGCAGGGCCTTCCAGAAAATTAATAGCAAGGAAGCAAGGAAACAAGTAAAGAAAAGAACAAGTGCAAAATGGCAGCTGTTTTGGTAAAACCTTTTATCTCCATTGACCTTGTTAAATTAAAAGTGAGATGGGGAATATTCATGTTCTTTTTTCCAGGGAGCATACTATGGCTGAGAGTGAGAGATTTTATGTCTACGTTTTCTCTCTCTCTCTTTTGTCCAGTTACGTGTGAATTTACATGTATGGTATTCAGCTTTGTTCGGGTATTTTCCCACGTCATTATAGTTGTGCTTTTAAAGTTGTAGCAACGTTTCGGCAGAATCTCATCTGCCATCATCAGGCTTCTGTATACAGACGAACACAATACAGAAGCCTGATGATGGCAGGCTTTATATATATATATATATTTGTTTTCTTAAGTTTTCGCGGGTACTTACATGTATGGTATTCAGCTTTGTTCAGGTATTTTCCCATGTAATTATAGTTGTGCTTTTAAAGTTGTAGTAACGTTTCGGCAGAATCTCATCACGGCTGTGAAAGTCTGACTCACAGATGAACACAATACAGAAGCCTGATGATGGCAGATGAGATTCTGCC